GCTTCCTGGATGAGGAAGGCTCTCATTTGCTCACTTGAAGGGTGAGCCTCACAGGGAGGAGGCTGGAGGGAATCGAAGTGTGGAGGAAGCATGGGCAATTGATTTAAAGTTTTTTCTTCCATAGTTTCCACCAGCATTCAGCTAAGGATCTACTTCCACCATCCCTTCTACACATACTTCTCAGAGCCCACGACATGCCCAGCACAGACCCAGGCACTTCTGTGTCATGTCCATGTTGTTTTGGTGGAACAGAAAGAGGATGCCTTTTGAAGTGAGGTCTGGGGTTTCCGAACTTGGGAGGTTTCCTGAAGAGGCTGGTAGGCTGGAGCAGCTCAGGAAATTGAAGGGAAGGGGGCATGGGGCCCAGACCCCCACGATGCCCTCTTTGCTTAGAACATGGCTTGGGCTGGATGGGTGTCTGGGAGCAGGACTGTCCTTTCTATTAACACAGAAATAGACTACCTGGGAGAGAAGAGTAGGAAGAGCCCAGGTATCATTCATTCACTTCTGCAAACCCTGATGGGGGATGCCAGGCACTGTGCAGGCTGGGATACAGAGATATCAAGATGCATGTGATGTGATCCCCTCAAGTTGTGGTCCAGCTGGGAAGATGGTTGGGCTGCTAGGACTTGAGGTAGCTAATTGGTCATCTCCCTTTCCCCGCAGACTCACCATACAGTTGGAGATCAAACTATGGGCTTTGTGGCTGGTGCGGCTGGAGTAGAGTAGGCTTCTGATTACTTGTTCGCTGGGTCTAGGCTTTGTCCATCTGGGAGGAGGATGTCCAGCAAACCCCACTGCTGCCCAGACAGTGCACATCCCCAGGGGGACAATAGAAAGGGGACCTCAGAGGTGGCCTGCAGTCCAGCATCTTGGGCCTTGAGCGGGTAGGGGTGGTATAGAAAGGAAGGGAGAGGCTTCAGTTTCTCCCTCACTTTCCCCCTTGGGGAGCTGAGCTGCCAGCCCTCCTTGGATGGAAACGTGAGATGTGGGTGATGAGGCATCTAAACAGTTAAGGGGATTCAAACCTGACTCTACTCATCCATTCATAATTCCTGAGCTTCTCGGAGCACCTGGGCTGGGCTGGGCACAACAGAGGCAAAGATGACTGGAGATGAAATACATGTTGGAGGGACGTGGAAAAGCGAGGGGAGGGGCCACCACAGGTGTGTGTGGGGGCCTGAGTCAAGAAAGGCAGAGGACAGGGGTGCTGGGGTCACTCTGCCTGGGCCTGGAGCCCTTTCCTTGCTCAGTCTGTAGAGGAGTGGGGAGCCTGTGTTTCCCCTCAGAGGGCTGGAGGCACAACTGAGCCTCTGGTTACAGCCCCCACCCCTGACCCACTTTGCCCTTTATTTTGTATTTTGGAGAATTCTATTTCTTTAGCTTTGGGAGAATAAAAGGCAGCTCAGTGAAAACTAAGTTGGAGTTTAGTAAATCAGAGTAGCTCTATTCTGGTTGTTGTTTTGTGGTTTGTGGTTCTTTCTGGCCCAGGCCCTGGTTGCAGAGGGAAGAGTTGAGGTTAGCAGAAGAAAAGCCTGGTGTCCTGCTTGTTAAGACTTGGAAGGGGTCGTTGGGGCAGTTTTGGCGACTCCCTCAGGTGTCTGAGAGGCCCTCAGATGGTGGAGGTGGGGTGGGGGTAGACTGCAACCTTCCCCCTACCCGCCCTCACATCCTATTTCACTGAAGATAATATTCTGGAAAATGCCATTGGCCAGTGAACTACTGCTCTTCTTTTTGCTCCTTATCCCTCCCTACCTACTTCTGTCCTCCCCTGGAGCTAAGGAATCTAGCAAGGGACACAGAGGGAAGTGGTTAGAGGGCAAAGGAGGGAGGAGGGAGGCGGGGAAGGCAGAGGGAAGTACGGGAGAGGAGGCCCACCTGCGGGTGGGCAGGCACACTGGCTCCGACCTACAGCCATCCTGGTGATTTCACCTTTCCCCAACTGTCTCAGGATTGAGCCTTCCTGGCTGTTTTGGACCTGGGCAGGGAGCGGAGTGGGTGGTTGTGGGTGAGTGGGTGGTCCGAGGGCTCCAAGCTCTACCCCAGCTTGCCGCTCCCCATGGAGGGGACCCGTCGTCAGGGAGGGAGGATTCACCTGGCTCCCCACCCGCCCCACCCCAGCCTGTGCTCTCTGTGGCTCCTTTCACTCCTGGGTATTTTTACTTTTCCCTTGTGCCTGTTGTGCAGGATCAAAGGGAGGAGGGGAGGCTAAAAGAGGCAGTGGTTTGCCCAGCTCTTTGAGAAGCTCAGACAAGGCAGGCCTGGTAGGAATGAGGGTTGGAGTGGGGCCTGCTGTAGGCAGGCTGGGACCCAGGCTGTTGGAGGGGGGCCTAGTGGGGCTCTCACCAGCTTGGGGCGGGGTCTGGGTCCTTGGGGGTCTAGATTCTAATTTTGTAGGTATCTGCTCTCCTCCTCACTGAGGCCTCCTTCCCCATGTGGCCCCTGTCTTTTCATGTGTATGGTGTGTCTATGCATGTACTGCTCAGCCCAGAGGTGCTCAAGCTTCAAGGAGAAACCAGGTTGTGCCCTCATGAAGGATCTGGAAGCCTGAGCAGGGCCTGACTGTCTCAGAAGCTGCTGTGCATTGGTCTCCCAGCCTGAATCTGCCCTGCTGCAGCCTCGGCACACCACCTGTCATGATGCCAAAAATTCCTCCATTTGAAATTTAGGAAAACCAAGCCTGAGCTCCCAGGATGTTGGAACAGGGTGGGGCCTGAGAGACCCTCTGGGCCAGCGCGGTGGAGCATTCAGGGCCTGGGGCAGCCTGCACAAGCTCTGTGTCCCTGGGCCTTGTCAATGTATGAGGTTTGGTGCCTCAGCTTCCTCATCTGTGTGACGGGGATAAAAATACCACCTAGCTCGTCAGCATGTGTTACCTGAGAAAATGTAAGCAAAGCACTTCGGACCGTGCCTGGCACACAACAGTATGCTGTCATTTGCTGTGATTTCTCCATGGGGCACTTACTGGTATTGGGACAAGACAGTGTTTCATTGTGCAGGGTGTCCCACCCATGCCATCTCTAACCCCTGCCTGGATGCAGGCCAGTAGGTGACTCCCTCTTATCACTGTGACAACTGAAATGCCCCACAGGGACAGTATGGCCTCCAGACTGGATCTTACTCCAGCTCATCCACTTTACAGATTTTGAAACTGAGGACTCCCTTGGGGACAAGCCTTGCCTTCAGCCGGGCAGGACTGGGGTTGTCTAAGGCTTCTCCTGTTTCTCTTCTGAATTGCCTGGCGCTGGCATTAGCAGCTAGTACCCCACATCTTCTCACTCCCCACAGCCACCTGGGGAAGGGAGCTGATAAACTCACTCACACAAAGGTGAGAGCGCTGATGATGGTTCCATGCAGGTGCAGCCTCTCTCCTGCATTTTAACAGCTCCTTAGCCTTCCCCAAAGCACTGACCCCCAGCCCCAGGTCACTAGGTCCTGGCTTCCCCAGGCTCCCTCAGACTGGTTCTGGCTTTGAGTCCTCACCCATCTTGACTTGCTGTGTGACTTCGGGAGAGTTACATGATGCCTCTGGGCTACTGGTTCACCAGCAGAGGAGGGCTAAGGAGAATTAAGAGCCATACTCTTGGCCCCTAAGGAGCTAATAAGGGAGGGAGCATTTTGACGAGAGGTGAGGGTTCAGAATGAGCTTGCCAGAGAAGCCCAGGAGCTGAGGCTGGACCCTGAGATGCTGCACCCTCTCCTCCCTTCCTCTGCCCACAGAACTGGAGCAGTCAGGGCCTCTGTAGGGGGAATTACAGATGGGGGATGGGTGGCTCTGAGACCACCACTTGGTGCTGATGGAGAACTTTTCCAGGGAAACCTCCCAATCCAAACACAGGCTGTTCCAAATGGCTGGGGAAACTGAGGCACAGAACGGGCAAGTGGCTTGCTGGTCTCCATTTGACAAACCCAAGGGGAGGAGAGCCTGGGGTCAGCCCCCAAGCCGAGCCCTGACTCAGCTTTTAGCCCTTCTCCCCATGGCCTCCTAAATTGAGGGGAGGGAGGTTGCTGGCTTTGCGGGAAGGAATCCCCTGGGGAAATCTGCCCAAATTAGCAGTGAGAATGAGGAAGAGCTGGTGTTCTCTCCTCTACCCTTGCAGATAAATATTTAATCACAACAACAATAATAATGATGATCATCGAAATAATTTACAGTAGCTGTAAACCTGAGCCCCTCTCAGAGGGAGGAAGTGGGGGAGAGAGAAGGAGCAATGACAAAATTGAGAGTTAAAGACCCTTAGAAAAAGGGAGTGAGAGGGAGGCCAAGCAAGTGAAAAGGAGCCTCAACTGAGTTTACCCTCTGCTTGGGGTAAGCTGGGCAGCTGGGGTGGGAATGTGAACGGGAGGGTCCACCTAGCACACCCCGATTCAGGAAGAGCACCCCAAACTCCGAGAGCCCCAGCTTCTCCCTGGCCTCCAGACTGAGCAGCTCCCGGTCCGGATTTCTTCTCCTGAGACCTTTTTGGCTTTCCCTGACTCTGAGTCCTCAAGGAGCCTAAGTGTGTCCGGTTCCAGAGCTGGGAGCCGGGAGGTTGAGTTCCAGGCGGCATCCTGCTGCTCACTAGCTGTGTGATCCGGGACAAGCAATCTCTTGCTCTGGGCCTCAGTTTCCTCGTCTCTGAGATGAGTCAGGCCCATGGGACTGGTTTCTGCCTGCTCCTTCCTGTGGGTATGTGTTGAGAGGGGCCCCTCTTCTTCCCAAGCCTCCCAGGCTGTTCCCTGGGGAGTGTGCTCTCTGATGCCTGCGATTCTGATGGCAGTGGGCACAGGCCTTAAGAAGAAGTCTTCAAACGTGACCTAATTTCTACCTTAAGTTCTCCCATTTGAACTGAAGTCAAGCAGCAGCCAGAGGAAACCAAGTTCAGGAGATTTGTGGAGTCTTTGGAGATAACCTCCAGCATCTCCTTCTCTCAGGCTCCTGATGAGAGATGAGAATAGCTAATGTCTTCTTTGGGCTTCTGTTTGATTCTGTCTCTCTCTCTCTCTCCTAAGGTTGGTAGGAGGAGAACACTGGAGCTGTATTCTGTTTGATGCCAAGATACGCCAAGCTAGGAGCACTCTCCTCCTTTCTCATCCACCAAGAACAGGCCTGCAGGACTTGGGGACCAAGACCAGAGCTTTGCTGCACCCTGGCCACTCCCTGCCATCTGTGAGCGTGGCCTGTGCCGGCAACTGAGCATTGCCTGAGGGGCGGGAGCACCAATATGGTTCAGCCCATTGGCCGCCCTCAGCCACCCCGCTGCTGAAGCTTCCCTGGAGAGACTTGTGGGGGCTGCTCTGCCCATGCTTCCCCAGGCTGTGGGGCCAGGGGCCCGCCAAGGCTAGGAGTGGGACCTGCCATTCATGGGTCTCTAGGAATTTCCGAGATGCCTGGGAAGAGGGGCCGGGGCTGGTGGTGGGCCCGGCTGCCCCTCTGCCTGCTCCTCAGCCTTTATGGGTCCTGGGTGCCTTCCTCCTTGGGGAAGCCCAAAGGCCACCCCCACATGAATTCTATCCGCATAGATGGTGACATCACTCTGGGAGGCCTGTTCCCGGTGCATGGCCGGGGCTCAGAGGGCAAGGCCTGTGGCGAACTCAAGAAGGAAAAGGGCATCCACCGGTTGGAGGCCATGCTCTTTGCCCTAGATCGCATCAACAATGATCCGGACCTGCTGCCCAACATCACGCTGGGCGCCCGCATTCTGGACACCTGCTCCAGGGACACCCATGCCCTCGAGCAGTCACTGACCTTTGTGCAGGCGCTCATCGAGAAGGACGGCACGGAGGTCCGCTGTGGCAGTGGCGGCCCACCCATCATCACCAAACCTGAGCGCGTGGTGGGTGTCATTGGTGCTTCAGGGAGTTCGGTCTCCATCATGGTGGCCAACATCCTTCGTCTCTTCAAGGTTAGTACCTGATTGGTTGACCTGGAGGTGTTCTCTCACCAACAACCCCAGCCCTCCACACCCAGGGGTCTGGGCCTGCCCAGCTCCTTTCTCCTCTTCTCTCCCCGAATCCGCGGGAGAGTGTTTCCCACCCACCCCTCCAGCTCCTTCCAGCCATATCTGAGAATTTGGGGGCCACCTATAGTCAGAGTGAAGGTGTTTGGAGGGACCCAGCTCTGTGGTGCTGACCGTGGTGCTGAAACAGCACCTGCAGCGGGCAGCTCCTTGATCAACTCAGCTCCTCTGCAGGAAATTCTGAACCAAGAGGGGAAAAAGAAGTGTTGGTGAACAACAGAAGGGAGGAGATGGGCAGATAGATGTATTAAAAAACCAGACAGATGGGTAGATAGAAATATAAGTAGCTAGAAAGGTAGACAGGTTAAAAGATAAACATAGAATTCATAAAACATGTGAATGTTGGAGATTGCAAGGGAAATAAAGCAAGACTTCTGTTTTGACATTGTTTTCAAATAGTTACAATTCCCAAGAAAGCTATGGTTTTTTTTTTTTTTTTCTGTGTAGTTGAGAAAGCCCTGCGTGGCCCTCCTGCTCCACCTCAAGATTATAGTTAGAAAATGTGTCCTGATTTTTTAGATGAGGCGTTGGCTACTGAGCCCGCAGGGAATGGAGATGAGGACGGGAAAAGGCCTGCAGGGAGCACGTGGTCCCTGTTTCTGGTGCCCGCGGCCCTAACCTGGCTTCCCTCGCTCACTTTTCTGCTCTTCTTCCTTGCACACCTTTCTCCCTTTCCTTCTGGAATCCCTCCCTGCCCCCTCTTTGCTTCCTCCCTTCTTCTCTTCCTGGGGCAAGAGCTGCTGATTTGCAATTCAATTGGAGCCAAGTGCTTCGCTAAGCTGCTAAAACAACTGAAAGCTACCGGGTAGAGAGAAAAACATTACAAGCATTTTACCAATAATTATGTGCCTGCTCCTCTCTCCGGAGCCTTCTTGTTTGCGCGCTCTCTCTCTCTCTCTTTCTCTCTCTCTGTGTGTGTGTGTGTGTGTGTGTGTGTGTGAGAGAGAGAGAGAGAGAGAGAGAGAGAGAGAGAGAGAGAGAGAGAGAATAGGGTGGGGTGGGAGGGGAGAGAGAGAGAGAATAGGGTGAGGGAGGCAGAAGGGACACACAGAGGGAGCCCTGGTGTCAGATTTCTTGGCCTCTGGAGTTAGCCCTTGTCTCCTCAAAGTTTTCAAGGTTAAGGAGTGGACAGAGAAATGCTGTTTGTCCTGTTACAGGGTGGGAAGCTCTGAGGCTGGAGCCCTCACTCCTGGACCCTTTCTGGAACCCATTTGCCCAGTCCCATGAAGCGTCAGTACTTGGGGGCATATTGGGGGGCCAGGGTAGAAGTGGGGATGAATGGTGTTGGGGATGAATACCCCTGTGTTGGATGGGAAAGAAAGGCATTTAGAGTTGTCCTGTCATAGTAGGGGCCAGGTTGGAACTTTCCTGTGAGCTGGTTTGGGTCATGTGTGCTGTGTGGTCCTTCCCTTTGGGACTTCTTCCTGGAGTGTTGTTTTTGCTTGATGATCTGGATGAAAGCACTATTTTAATTTTAAAATAAATGGATGCATTATGAAGGATGCAAAATCACAATGAAGCAGGAGACTTGAGGGAAACTGCCTTAGCAGTGGACAATCTCAACAATCCCTGAGGAGCTGTGCTGCTCTCGGTCCTTCCTTGATAGGATGGTTGGGGAGTGGGTAGCCTGGTCTAGCCCCTCCACCTGACCAATTTTGCAGTGAGGAGTAGGGACACAGAGGGGAGGGAGAGCAGGGCCTAGTGATGTCCCAGGCTGTCCTGGGCTAGGGCCTAGTGTTGGCTTGGGCTGAGTTATCACTTCAGCCTGCCTGCCCCAAGCTTAGGAGATGAGGTGACCTGGGCCATCCAGTAGAGGGGACAAGCCCCAGACTCCTTGCCAGTGTATCTGGGTAAGGCACAGACCCCCAGCCTCTGAGAAGGCCAGACCACAGGTGGGGCTACTGCAGTGTCCTTATTTGAGCTTTCTATTAAGTACCTTTGTGACACTGGGTGTTTTATAAAGATGATAAAACAACCTGATTGGGTCCTTGGGGCTATGATGTTGGTGAGGGTCCTTCCCCCCATCTAGAATTGAGCCAGTACCCACTTTATAGGGAGGTGAAAAAGATCAAAGGGGCTGAGAGCTGTCACTGGACGCCTGACAAAGGCTCTAAGAAAGGTCACTGTCAGCGTTAGGCCTTGAAGTGTGTTCTTGGAAACACCGTTGAGGTGCCCAGTACTCCCACTCCGTGGGAGTGGGCTGTGACTTCTGTGCTAACCTCTTCCAGAGTGGGGAGGGTCTCGTGTTGGGTGAGGGGGCCTGGGGCCAAAGTGCTTCACCAGCCTAGGGGCTCACAGGTGTTCCTTTTCCTCCACCCATCTGGTCACACATGAATGTGTCTGTGGCCTCGGTTTTGTGTGTGCTGCCTCAGATTACAGTGAGATGAGTGGGTGGGGCAGGGGGTTAGGAGTCCCCCAGGTCGCACAGAGACAGATGGGACTGGGAGGTAGAGGCCTAGGAAAGGGATAAGGAAGAGGGGACTGAGGGGGGCATGTTGGGAAAGGAAAGAGGGGCAGGAGGTGGGGAGATGAGGAGAGAGCCAGAAAGAGACAGCTGGCCATGGCCTGCAGTCCCTAGGTCCCTTTTAACAGCGTTAATGTTCCAGACTGGCGACAAGAGGGCTCCTCAATAATTAAACTGATAGAAATGAGAGGCTGGGTGAGAAACTTAAAAGCCATTGACAGAGGCAAAAAGGTTGAACTTTGGGGAGGGAGGTCAGGAGCAGGAGCCTCAGGCAGGAGAGGATGAGGGAGGGGCACCTTGGGGAGGCCAGGGGAGCAGGGATGTCAAGTATTTCAAAGGGCACCACTGTGCCCCAGCCCCGCTCCCCGCCAAGGCTATTAGTGGGGCCTGCTGGGAACTTCCCCCAGACGCTGTGATTACAGCTCTCCGTCCTCCGAGAGGTGGATTTCCTGTGCACAGCTCAGGAAGAAGCTCTAGGTTTGGGGCTCTAGAGGTGATTTCCTGCCTGGAGAATGCTAATTGGGTTCTGTCAAGGCCAGGGTATGAGCAAAACTCAGAACTGCCAGAGCTGGGAGGGGCCAACTCCCTGTCCTACAGATGTGGAAACTGAGCCCTGATTAAGTGATGGGACAGGGCTTGGAGTCAGGTCCCAGGTCTCAGCTCCTAGACCTGACTCCTTCCAGACTACCTGCCCAAATAAACTGGGCTGGAAGTGGAACTCAAACCTGGGCCTACATTAGGAATCAGCCCTGACTTTGGGAAGTCATGGATCTCTCAGGTTTTATCCCTCACTCTCTTGATCCCACCCCCTTCCTTCATCTTCATTTTGGCTCCATTCTCCTAGGACAGGCAATATTGATGAAGGTAAAGGATACCTTTTGGAGGAGATCCTAAACCCAGAGCATGTGGCCTGAACAGTACTATGTTGTGGGGACAGCCTAGGTTCTGAAGTAGTCAGGTCTGGGTTTGAACCTCTGCTCCACCAGAGTTACTGCACCATAGTCACAGTGTCTGTTCACCATTCCAGTCATTTACACCATGGGATGAATGAACCAAAGAGATCTTTTCTTGAGAGCAGCCATTATTGGAGGGAAAAGAACATACTAAATGTCCTGGAAAGAAGCAGTTTTCAAATCCTCGACCTGTAAGAGTTAAGAAGGATCCAGAAATCATTCTGCTGAATTTCTCATTCATTTTGCAGTGGAGGAAAAAAAACAAAACAAAAGTGAGGCTTGAAGAAGGGGAGATTGCATAGCATGGTGGTTAAAAATTTGGACTCTGGAGCCAGATAGCTTTTGCCACGTCAGCAAATTGTTTAGCCTGTTTGTACGTCAGTCTCATTTGTAAAATGGGAATGATAGTGGTCTCAGAGGCCAGGTGTGGGAATTCAGGGCTGATGTCCAGAAAAGGCCTAGCATGGTGCTTGGCGCACAGTCAGCCCACAGGGAATGTCATCGCACAGCTTGTAACTGGGCCTTAAGTCAGCATGCAGGGCTCCGTCGATGCGGAAGAGGCTGGAACGGGTGGGCAGTGGCAGACGGTGACCTTTGAGGCTGGTCCTGGAGGGGCCCCACCATCTGCTGGGCCCTGTGTGTCTTCCTGCGGTGTTGAGACTGAGCGGCCAACTTAACTTGTGGATAATGAGAGTTTTCTTGCTGTCACAACAGTAGGGCTTCAGAAGGAGCGGGGTGGAGTGGAAGGATGGCAGGAAGGGGCAGGCAGGAGAGAGGGTGGAAGGGATGCCAGCCAGCAGGTGGGTGGGCAGGTGCCCCAGTTTCCTAGGAGAGGCTGGGCCAGGGATGCTGTTGAGTGACGTTGGCCCTCTGTGGGCCCCCCTCCCCCCAGCCTGCCCTTGTGAGTTCTTGTCCCACGTGGGGCCATAAATGCTGTTAGGGTTTGGGTCTGCTTCTAGAGAAAGCTGCCTGCCTGATGCTTCGCCCCTCAGCACCTAGCCCAGGGCTCCTGGGGAAGCTTTGTGGCTCAGCTGATACCAGATCTTCTGTTGAGGATGTGGCTTTTGTATCTTCAGAGTGTTTTCACTGTACAGCCGAGAAGAACTTTTAAGAGGGTCCACCCACTCTCCTACACCTGCTTGTCTTCCTTGGAGACAGTTCTGTCCAGCGCCCAGGCCAAAAAACTTGGTGGCATTTTTGACCTCCCTGTTACTGTCAGCAAACCCTGCAGGCTTGCCCTAAGAATGCGTCCCGGAGACGCCTACCTGCTTCCGCCCCAGCCCATGCTCTCTTACCCAGATGGTGCAGAAACCTCTCTTCCCTCTCCCTGCTTCCAAAGGGGTCTCTTCACAGTCAAACCTTTGCTCAGCAGCCAGGGCAATCTTTCTAAAAGCCAAATCAAATCTGCTCACCCCTCTGCTTAAACTTTTTATTGACTGTTGGTTGCTCTTAGATTAAAATGCAAACTT